AATGTAGAACTGCCCCATAGGATTTTCTTGACTGTAATTTTAAGTGAAACAGATAGCCAGGCCTTTTCTTTGGTGATATGGTTGCGTGGCGTCTAACCACCAACCTTTACATTGGCAGTCAAGTACAAATCATTTTATTTGCAAGATGCTGAGTTTTATTTTCTTTCTTTCCTCACTAACTATGCACATGAAGACTAGAGGTATCCACAAGTTATGCCAAAATAACCACTTGCATTGCAATAAAATACAGTTTTGTCCTTCTGTATTCATTATTTCCCAAACTCATTTTGCTAATTCATTCCCAGTAGGCGAACTTTATCCTACTGTTTATCTTTTCCTCTTATAATATCTCTTAACATGGTTTTATACAGATATAAAACCAAAAAACAAATCTATCTATGTGTATATCAGATGAGCAGTTCTTTGGGGAATTTCTGTGCTTTCTTTCTGTGTGTTACTGTGATTAATACTACAGTGGTAACAATGAGCAGGACAGCAACAGTTGTGTTAGAGGAGTATGCTGTAATAAATTTAGCTAAGAACTACAATAAACAATGGGCAGGTGGAATCCACCAAAGAGGTCTGACATCTCTGTATGTTTTCCAGTGATAGGATTTTTGCTAGAATTTTTGTTAAGTTTGTGTTCCTAACAGAGCTTGGCAGAAATCAGATCTTGATGAAATTTGGAGAACTGGCGGTTCAAACCCACCAGCCACTCCTCAGAAGGAAGGTTGGGCAATCCTACTTCCATAGCGATACTGCCTCGGAAACCCACGGAGGGATTGCTATGAGTCGGGGCCGACTCCACAGCAAATAACAACAACAACAACAAATTATGCTGAGATACAGAACAATATCTCTTAAAAGAAAATGTTCTGGCAATTTAAAGTACAATCTATGTTTGGAAAGTTAAAGATTTGTTCAATAGAGAAGATATATGAGCTGTGTTTTACAGTGTTTGATTGAATAGAAATATACCCAAAAGAAAGATGCAAAGGCACTTATCCTTATTTCTTCGCTATATATATATATAT